TGCCCTGCTGTGGCTTGCCCAGCTTCTCCAGAAGCCACCATCCCTTCAGGAGGCTGCTCCCAGCAAGATTGGACATCGGTGGGAGAGCCTCAAGCCTTGCAAGGATGGCACAGCAGAGAAGACCCGCCGTCCATGCAAGGAGCTCAGGCTGTCAGAGAACGTCCATGGTGCCAGGAGCCTCCACTATCTCTGACAGCCTCCATCCCTCAGAGAGGCTCAGCCAGACCTGTCAGCCTGCAGAAGGTGCAGAGCCCAGGGACAGGTCTCCCAGCTCCGTTGGACCCTTGGACTTCAACAACATGGACACATCCCTGAGCACTGACATGGCCAGGGAAAGCCCACAGGTCCAAGTGGGAGCCCAGCCTGATCCAGGGGAGCCGTCTCAGGAGCAGGTGGAGGAGCAGCAAGTGTCCTGGAGCCAGCAGCTGCCGGACCACAGCTCCCAGGTGACGGTGCTGGACGTGCCAGCTGGCAACAGCCCGTGCCTTGTGGAGGAAAAGATTCCCGGGGGACCAGGGAGTTTCCTCTTTCTCCAGGAAGCTGCTCCCATACAGCCACCAAATACCAACAAGGCTTCCGTACCAGCAGGTGAGACCTGAGGAGCTGACTGAGGCTGCCATGGGGCTCTGGAGGGGCATTCGTAGGCCAGGCCAGGGCTTCTGAGAGCAGCCTAGAAGCAGGTCAGAGCAAGGTGGCCGGCGCTGGCTGTGGCCGCTGCACATGCGGACACTCGGGGGGTTCCTGGCAGCATCAGGCCCTGTGATGGAGGCATTGTCTTCTCCTCACAGCCCGACGGCACCTGTGTTCCACTGGAGATCGTGCTAATGGAGAAGGTGGGCTTTGGCTGCCGCAGAATCATCCAGTTCCTCGACTGGCTCCAGCTGCCTGACAGCTTCGTGCTGGTGATGGAGTGTCCAGAGCAATCTCGGGATCTCTTGCATGTCCTGCAGGAGCAAGAGTTCCTGAGCGAGGAGGCGGCACGCTGGCTTTTCTGGCAGGTGCTGGAGGCCGTGTGGCACTGCACCGCCTGCAGTGTCCTGCACCGGGACATCAAGCCAGAGAACCTCCTCATAAACCCAGACACTGGGGACATGAAGCTGATCGACTTCGGTTGCGGCACCTTCCTCCAGGAGCGGGCCTGCACACAGTTTGCCAGTGAGCCCAGAGCGCGGGCCCTGCTCCCAGTGCCAGGCACTGCACAGCCCCATTCCCTCCTGGGCCGCGGGGTGCAGCATTCAGCCGGCTGTTGGAGATGGTGTGCGGGTTCCTGCCCTTCGAGAACGAGCGTGACACCGTGTTGGGGCAGCTCTTCTTCCCGCAGGAGGTCTCTCCAGGTTGGTACGCGGCCTGAAGCAGGCAGGCTTTGGCAGGTGGCACCGCGCAGCCCAGCCCGGCCCTCCCGCAGCTGCGCGGGACGTCCATGTGCCCTCAAGGGCCGGCTGCAGCAGGTGGCCCGTGGCAGGCTGGGTGTGGCACGCTTGGCTGAAGGAGGGGACGCTTGTCCTGCCGTGCCGCTCTCCCGCCAAGGGCAGCTCCCAGCACACGCAGCGTGGCCCGGCTTCTGCAGGCGCCGGGAGCAGCTGGGCAGGAGCCTTCTGCAAGTGAGCGCCGCTTTCTGCCTTCTCTCCCCAGAGTGCCAACATCTGATCTGCTGGAGTTTGTCCAAGCACCCCATGGACCGGCCGGTGCTGGAGCAGATCTTCTACCACCCTTGGGTGTTGGGCGGGCATTTCTGATGCCTTGGTGCAGCCTCTGCAGCACCCAGTTCCCGTGTCCCACGCAGGACTGAGGGCCCAGGAAATAAAACAACCCAAAACCCACTGCGGGCCTGGAAGTTTTGTCCTGGTTAGCAACTTCAGCTAAGGGAACCTCTTAGCAAAAGGGGTAATCAGAGTGTTCTCTTCAGCCTTTGTCAAGATTTTGGTGCCTTTCCTCCAGGTTGTCCCTCAAAATCAGAGGGGGGTGGAGCCTGCACCAGTCCCCCCAAATCGGTGGGAGACAGAGACTACTCCCAGGCCCCTCAAAACTGGAGGAGGATGGAGACGATCCCCGGGCCCCCCAAACTGAAGGGAGATAAATACCTGGCAACCCAAAATAAGAGATGGATGGAGGCCACAGCATCCCCCAAGTCAGAGGGGGAAGGGGAGACTGCCAGCCCCCCCAAAGAGGAGGGGAATTGTGCCTGTGCCAGCCCCACAAATTGCAGGGGGACAGAGAACACCCCTGGCCTGGCAAAGGGCAAAGAGCAGACGGGGGCTGCTGGGATGGTGACAACACTGGCAACCCCCAAATCAGAGAGGGACAAAGAGCCCGCACAGGCTTCCCAGAAGCAGAAAGGGGGCAGAAAATATCCCCTGTCCCCCTAAGTCAGAGGGGCACAGACACAAAAGGCCCCACAAAAAGAGCATGAGGAACCAAGAGCACTGCTGGCCCCACAAGGGTAAGGAGGATGGAGAAACTTCCCATCTGTCTTTGTTTTGGAAGACAGGTGTCTGCTAGGGAGGGCAGGGGCCTCCCCTGGAATGAAAATGTAGACCCCCTCCCTCTGAATTATTATAATTCTGAAATCAATTTTCAGGGGTTTTCAGGCAGAGATCTGGGGATGGGAATAACAGTTCTTTACTAGTATAAGCAGGCAAACAAACAACAATAACTACAGCATTAGCAAGAAAACAGAACCAGGGGCCCTGTGACAGCTTTCTCTGCTGAGACAGGAAGGGATGGAGGAGAGGCTTTGTTTTCACAAACCCCCTCGGGCGGGCAGTCCCGGTGCTCCTGCAGGGCTCTGAGGAACACTCAGCTGGAACAGCAGGGATGAGCTGAGATCCTGGGCCGGTGGCTGAGGTGGATCAGCAGCTCCGCGGCGGTGCCTGGCACTGCCACACGTCCCAGCAGGACAGGGGGTGTGAGGCCACCAACAAAGAGGGGAGAAGGAGAAAAAGCAGCAGCTCCGTCTGGGTGATGGCGAAATTCCCTTCTCCCCACCGTAACAGCTCTGCGCCCAGTGTCCTCTGAAGCTGAAGAAAGCCCCCCAAACTGTCGCCATCCTCCTTTTTCCTGCCCCCTTCCCCCCCTGGGCCCGGCCAAACTCTTTGTCTTTTGTCAAGCACCCACCAAGTACCCACAGTTAGGTTGTCTCCCCAACTAATGGGTAAAAATTCCACAGGCAAGCCAGAACTAAAAAGAAAAGGGACACCTAACCCTCAACAGTGTGTCTTAATCCCTCTTAGAGTAAATATTATCAATTAAATGCAATTTCCTGTTTAATTGCAGAAGTGGAAAAAATGTTCCAGAATTCTAAAACTACTTTGAAAAATATGTTATTAATATGGCAAAAGAGAAGAAACATTTGGGGATTACTTCGTACTAAAAATAATTCTAAATATTTCAAAAATATTCTAATTTTTAAAAATAAAAAATAAAGATAACAAGGTGGGTTCCCCAAGCCCGACTGCTGCCTGCCCAGCCAAGGCTGTGGCCAGCCAAGCAGCTGTGCCAGTGCTGCTGGTACCAGCCAGACCCCAGAGCAGAAGCCCAAAGGTGTTGCTCAAGCTCTGCCTTGGCAGGAGGGTCCTGCCTTCAGTCCTGTCCAGACACCAGGGCCAGCACTTTCAGGGACAGAGGGTCCTGTTCTGGGTGGTGGCAGCACAGCAATAAGCTGATAACGCAGCTTTGGCAAGGAAAACAGACACGGGCTTGGAGACTCAGGAAGAGAGGTGCAGTTCTCCCTGACTGAGTGTAGTGATTTACATTCACACTGTTATAAATGCATATCATATTATTGGCTTTTCTCAAATATTAAAAGGAATCTTGCATGTATAAGATTAGAAAATTTTGTTGTATTAATATGGTTTCCTTTATTTCTGTTATTGATGAAACTTTGAAATAGTGGTATAATACATATATGTTAAGCTTTGGCATAGTATTAAAACAAAAACTGCTTTAGTTTGTATAACCCAAAGACTGCAAAAGAGAGCTGGAGATGCCCCCTACATTCAGAAACTATCTTATCCAGATGAAGACAGCAGTGACCAGAACTCTGGGGGAGGAATTTATTGCATTTCTGTTATCAGGAAATGTAAATCTCATTGGCGCCAAGAAGATTGATCTATTGGGAAGGGGGCAAGAGAAAACTAAACAGAAGTAAACCAAAGATCCTAAGAAGAATGTATGAATATGCATGAGAATTTATGGATATTGTTAAGAATAATATGCTACAGTTGCTGTTTGTAAACTCCTTACTTACCTTGTACCCCTGTCCCAGGATATTGTTAAGAATAATATGTTACAGTTGCTGTTTGTAAACTCCTTACTTACCTTGTACCCCTGTCCCAGGTTTACTTACCTTGTACCCCTGTCGCAAATTGCTGTACCCCATATTTCTTGTTCCTTGTTCAGCCAGGCCCTGCCCCCTCTCCCAAGTTGCTGTACCCTGCGTTTCTTGTTCTGTGTTCAGCCAGGCGCTGCCCCCACTGCTCCTAGACTCCCACATGGCAACACTGTATCCCTTTCCCGAGTTGCTGTACCGCTCTGAGGAGGAAGATGACATACTGACTTTTATGCAAACGAGAGACACCAGAGACTTATGGGATGCACCCAGACTGGAAAAGACCCCAAAACAACGAGCCACGCAAAAGGGAAGGAATAAAACCAGCACCATCTAACAAGGAAGACCCAGAGGAGTCCCCTGGCTTCTTTCCAGGGGCCGACATAACCTCGAGGAGATTCGACTGGGATGACAGCCTAGACTACGAGCCTGAAAGAACGAGTCTTCCCGGGGACTCCCATGAGGAAGGAAGGCCCAGCTCTGTCCTAGTGACAGAGCTGCACGGATCCTCCTCTTCTGCGGTGTCCAGTGGGAGCAGTGGCGGTGTGCGCAACCCCTCGGGCCCCCACCCCAGAGCTGTGCTGCTTAATAAAGGCCTTTTTAAAAGGAGCTGGTCTCCTGGCCCGTTTATCACACTGGGGACACTCATCAACCACCACGCTGTCCCCAGAGGCTGTGATTTCACAGAATCATGGAATCGATTCAGCTGGAAGCGCCCTGTCAGATCACTGAGTCCAACCTGGGCACCATCCCCACCATGGCAACCAGCCCAGAGCCCTGAGTGTCACCCCCAGCCTTTTCTTCAGGCTCTCCTTTCACAGGCACTCCACCATCCATCTTGGCAACCTGTTCCAATATCTGATCACCCCTTCTGGGAAGGAAGTTTTCTTAGTGTTGACCCCAAATTTCCCCTTGCCAAGTTTAGAACTCTTTTTTGCATCTGCTCTCTTGTTCTTGCACATCTCTGAGAAGTCTGGCAATGACTTGTCCATCACTTCCCTGTAGGCAGGAGAAGAGGCTGTGTCAATGAGTGCTGCTCAACCATTAGGCCATTGAAGGGTGCTGCTTTCCTTATTATTTCTATATTTACATTAAAGAAGAAACCATCAGTTCAGGAAAGAACTGTATCAAGTAACAGATAGTGTGTACTGTAATAATTAATGTCTATAAATATACCAGGAGAAAAATTGAGGCTAGAAAATAGAATATGATTTGTGACTGTTAGAAGTACAGGGTTCTGGAAGAGCTTTTCAGTAAGCAGAGCCTCAAGTTTTAAGATGGAGTTGGAGCAGCACATGCAAGGCAGTTCTGTGGTGTGATTCAATCTGTTCTCTTCACCTCAAAGCCATCCATGGCTTTGCCAGTCTTCTTCCACACCGGTTCTGCAATCTTCCAACATGCTGCTTAGCCCTATCCCAATCTCTGTCCTAATTCCATGCATTCAAATGATCTTTCCCATCAGTTGTGAGCTCTGGAAATACAACTTTGCTCTGCAATTAAAACAGTTCTTTTTCTACTGGATTTGCATGGCAAGAAGGGAGAAAATTTGGAGAGAAGTTGAACCCAGGAAGAAGGTGGGGGATGGGTGGCAGGGAAAGGTTTTAAGATCCAGTTTTATTTCTCGTTTTCCTACTCTGATTTGATTGGTAATAAATTAAACTAGTTTGAAAAGTTGAGTCTGTTTTGCCTGTGACAGTAGCTGCTGGATGATCTTTCCCTGCCCTAATCTCAACCCACAAGCCTGTCATTATATTTGCTCTCCCCTGTTCATCTGAGGAGCAAATGAAAGACTGATGGCTTTGTTGGCACCTGGCTCCCAGTCAGGGCCAGCTC